CGGTGATACTCTGTGAGGTACGGGAGAGAGAGAGTACGCCATGGGATGGTTTCTCTGTACTGGAGGTTCAAATAAGAGGGGAAAACAACAGCAGCAGCAGCAGCAGCAGCAGCAGGTTCAGAAGAAGGACGATGATCCGATCCCATCGGCTTCAGGTAAATTTATGAACAATGTTCAAAAATTTATCGCTCTCATTTGCGTTCAATTGGAGATTCTACTCGAGTTTTAATGCAAATGTGCACTGCGGAGTTTAGTTTACTCAACTTTGGATAGGAAATCCATCGTTAATGGCAATGGTCTTGCCATTTCTGGGGATTTGCAAGGATTTGAATGGGAGGTGTTTTAATTTTCCCTTTTGAGTTTTTTTTTTTTTTTTCGAGTTTGTTTTTGTTTGAGCTATTGGGTGTTTTTATAGCTTGAATTGAGTTAGAGAAAGCAGCTACAAGGAATTTTAGGTGGTCTTTACCCTTTAGGATTTGTTCTTGGAGTCTATTTATTTCTTTCCTTTCTTTTAGTTTCTTTTTTTAGGTATAGGATTGTTGCAGGCTCTTTGAAATGGTTTGAAATTTTGGTATCTCATAGTGAATCGTTGATGCAGTTTCTTTTTTAGTGAATTATGAAATATCTCAGTTATATGCTTCATAAACCCAATTTTAAGAATTCCTATTTCGAGTTGTTTTGCTTTGGTGTACATGATGATGCTTGGATTATTTACTCTGTTATAAACTTAATTCGATTCCATGTACTTTCCGACGGTTCTCTCTCTTTTCATCATATTCTTCTTCTTCTCTTAGGTGACTATACTATTTCTGTGTTGTTGCATCAAAATTTTCACTTTGGGTTATCGGATTGTTAGGTGGCATCTTTTTCTTTTGGGGAAAAAAACGTGTTGTTTGTATGCATTTCTGGTCTGCTTTGCAATGCAGCTACTGCTGTTGAAGGATGTTGTTTAATCATTCTATGTTATCTATTATTTCGTTTTCAATGATGCTTATGTGTTTTAATTATCAAAATTGCCTTTTACTCGTTTGCAAAACTTGTTATTGAATGTTGTTCTGTAAACCCATTTTTATATGCAGAAAAGTTAATGGTTAAGCCGATATTTAATGGGAAGAACGAGGCTCTAAAAGATGAAGGTTCTGATCAGATTGCAGCACAAACAATTACATTCTCATTCCGAGAGTTGGCAGCTGCAACAAAGTATTTTAGAGCCGACTGTCTTTTAGGTGAAGGAGGTTTCGGTCAAGTATATAAAGGACGATTGGAGAGCATAAATCAGGTAGATTTTAGTTTTTTTTTTTTTTTTCATCATTGGAGTAATCATGACAATGATCGAGTTCGCTACTACCTTAAACTCCAAGTCAAGTTGGTTTTCATAAGGTTAAATTTCAACTGCTCTATTTCTTTATCCATGAAGTTTTGTAACATTGGATGTCTCTGCTATCTGTGCTGCAAGGTTGAACAATCCTAAATGTTCTAACATAGTTATCTTATTCTATTGGATACATTTTGGTGGAAACCCTTTTTACCAATATTGTTGATCTCAATCCTATCAACGATGTCATTCTCTTTAAGAAAAGATGAAATTTTAGCATTGGCTAGTAATCTGCATAACTGGGAACGAAGATAACTAAGTTGGCATATTAACATTAATTTTGCACCCCTGCCGGTGCTGTTGATCTTATTGCAGCTCATATTGAATATCAAATCATTCTATAACAATGCTTTATTGGTGGCACATCTGAATTAAAACAGTTCATCCATTCTTTAGTCTGAGAAATAATTGAAACTGTCTGCAGAAATGGAGTTCTTAGCAAAAAGAATTGTTATTGTGATTTCCTAGTTGCTAAAATCATCATTCAACCTGAATTTTTTTCTTAATATTAATATATTGAGCTGCACCTGTCGAAAGAAATGGACTTGTTTGCAAAAATTTTGTATTAACTGTAGCTGTCTAATTATCTGGGAAGGAACTTAAAGCTGTAAAATTGAGTACACACTCTCTCTCATGCACGTAAGACAGACATAAAATCTAAAGAAAAGAGGAAATGGACTAAATATCCAATTTACTGCATTTGTTTGAAGGCCTTTATTTGAAACGCTGCAGGGAAGTTCTGATCCTTGTGATTTTGTTGAATACAGGTAGTTGCCATCAAGCAACTTGATCGAAATGGGCTACAAGGGAACAGGGAATTTCTCGTTGAAGTACTAATGTTAAGCCTACTCCATCATCCAAATCTTGTTAATTTAATTGGCTACTGTGCGGATGGCGATCAAAGACTCTTGGTTTATGAATACATGCCACTGGGATCGTTGGAAGACCATCTACATGGTTTGCATCTACCACAGTGTCTATTGCCTTCATTTTTCAATCGTCTTTCCCTTCTGCATTCTTCTTTAATCTTGTTTCTTTTGAGTTAATGACACCATCATAAAATACTTGTGCCAGATCTCCCACCCGATAAGAAACGACTTGATTGGAATATAAGAATGAAAATAGCTGCTGGTGCTGCAAAGGGCTTAGAGTACTTGCATGACAAAGCTAACCCCCCAGTTATATATCGTGATCTGAAATGCTCTAACATCCTGCTTGGTGAAAATTACCATCCTAAGCTATCCGATTTTGGCTTGGCAAAATTAGGCCCCGTGGGGGATAACACTCATGTGTCTACAAGAGTGATGGGAACGTATGGATACTGTGCTCCTGAATATGCAATGACAGGCCAGCTCACTTTAAAATCAGATGTTTATAGCTTTGGAGTTGTTCTGCTTGAAATTATTACCGGCAGAAAAGCTATTGACAATTCAAGAGCCGCAGGGGAACATAATTTGGTGGCATGGGTAGTAATCATCTCTTCCTTTTCCTCTTTAGTTATCCAGTTCATGCCTTCCGCTCTTACTTTTTTACATTAATATGCTGTTCTAAAGATCATCTTCTTGTGAAGATAATTGTGGGATATGTAAGCTCACTCATTTCACACACGATCCAATTACAACTTATGCATGCACACAGCACTAGGGGTGCAAGTGAAAACTGAAAAAACCGCTCAAACCCACCGAAACCACTATTGGTTTGGGTTGAAGACAGTCTGGTTTGGCGGGTTCGGTTTCCAAATGAAGAAAACTGAAAATTCACGGTTGTTTTGGGTTTTTTGATGATAGACTAAATATACTCGTGCCTACATAAGATATTTATGTCGTAAAAACAAGAAGTTCATTAAAATGCTGAACCATGATTGTGACTGCTGTCATTTGCTTGGTTGTTTGTAGCTGTGACCTTCCTTATTTACTATTCTTGAAATTTTGAATTTTGTGGATCTGATATTACCTTTTTTCGTATCTATTCCATTATAAGACTATGATTTTGTTAAAGATTCCTTGGAATATTAGTTCAGATACCTGAGCTGAATCCAAGTAAATGTATAATGTGCTGCATTTTCAAATACAATTTCTGCCAAATGATATGATTTGCGACATTATATATAGTTGTTTATATGTCCTGGAGTAAATAAGGGGAGGATCATCTGTTTTTGTCCAAAAAATCTTACTTTTCTTCATCTCAGGCACAACCCTTATTTAAAGACAGAAGGAAGTTTCCACAGATGGCCGATCCATTGCTCCAAGGACAATACCCAGTCAGAGGCTTATATCAAGCTCTTGCAGTAGCTGCAATGTGTGTTCAGGAACAGCCTCATATGCGTCCCCTCATCGCCGATGTCGTCACGGCCCTCACATATCTTGCCTCCCAAAAATGCGATCCTGAAACGCAACCAGTTCAAAGCGCCCGCAGTAGCTTGTCCACACCTAGATCTTCTAGAAGAGAACTGTGATGTTTAAAAAAGAAGCTACCATGAAACCAAATTCTAACAATCAGACAAGTATATGAAACAAGTATCCTGGCATGTCTCGTGGTGCAGTTGCATTCCAGATAGCTCCTCTACTCTCCCCCAGGTTTTGTTCTTAGAAAAAAAAATTTCAATTCTTTTGTTATAATTTTTATGATTATTCCTCACCTGTTCCAAGCCATTTCCTTCCAGCACAAGATTCTTTATGTATGTACAATTGAGCTTGGTGCTTTTGTAGCTATATAGAAATAGGCCTTCCTGTGGATTTGCTGTTGATTCAAGTTGTGAATGTATACACTTTGAATTGCAAAAGCTTTCAAGCATTCTTACACCGCCGCCGCCTATGCCTTCTGCATTTTCATTCTTTTTAGTTCCCAGCAATGAAATTGGGCAGCAATTGCTCTACAAATATGCAGGCTTTAAATGTGAAGTGTTTCTGATATGGAGGGGCAGAGCCAAGAACAAATATGGAACACAATTGCTCCCTTGTTTTGTCTTCTTTTCAAATTTTATATCAACTTTTTACTTATAGCTGTGACTCTGGCTCTTCTCTTTCTTTCTTTTTTTTTTTTTCTTTTTTTTTTTTGGGCTCAACAGTTAATAGGAACAAAAAAATCAAGTTTTAAATTTTGGAACGAGTTTCTTGTTTAAGGAGTTATGCTTGGATTGACTCCAATTACGTCCGGGTAAGCATAACTAGTTGCCTTTTATAAGCGCAAGCTCATGGCCTGACTTGAATTCTCGAGATCAGCAAGCCAACATTTGCGAGTGAAAAATGACCGAACAAATGGACCTCTTGAAAATTGTTGGTTAAATATCTTGATAATTACTCTCTTAAATCATTATAAATTTCGAACTACAAAAACTCTTGTATTTGAAGTACAACCAATAATCCAAAGATTAAAAGCATTAACCATTTTGCTTTATTTTTATTTTTTTAAGAGTTTATATTTGATATTCAAAAATATATATATATTTATATATATCAAATTCTAAAATTAAAATAAAATTTTAAAATTTATTTTGTTTACTTTAAAAAATAACGTGGCTTCATTTAAAGTATGAGTGGAAAGTAAATAAACAGAATTAAAAATAATAATAATAAAAAAGAAACAGCATAGGACCGCGAAGCATTTCCAGTTACCACACTAGGAACCAAACGAAAAATTACTATATATTTGCTTTCTCCTTTCTCGCTCTGCTCCGCCTGTCGCCGCCCTAAAACCTCGAACCATCATGAGCCGAATGACTTCGAATTTGCTTGATGAAGCTATAGGTCTCGATGATTCTACGAGTCTCTCCCCTCTGGTCGGCCGTCTGTTGCTTGTTGAGGATTGTGTTGAAACCAGCGGCGCTTTTGTTCTTCATCACCTCCTCAAGCGCGCCTTTTCTTCTCCTCACTCTTCCAATGCCGTCATCTTCATTGCATTCTCTCAGTCCTTTGTTCACTATGAGCGCGTGCTCAGGAAACTGGTGCGATCTCGCTATTTATGCATGTGTGTGGATGTTTATAGCTTAGATGTTTTGCTATTTGTTGGTTTGAGTTTGGCGACGGACTTTTTTCGATTGTGGTATGAGTTCCTATTGCTCACTTGAACTTGGTTGTTGGTGAGAGGAACCGTGGTGGAAATTTATTACAAGATTATATAGCAGCACTAACGGAGAATTCTGAACTCCTCAAGGCTGCTATCAACAGAACAAGTTTTAAGAATTACATATTAACGAGTTGCATAAAGAATTCGTTATTGGACGATTGACTGATATTCTTTTTAGTGGAATATAGTTTATGAAATTATTAAGCCTGATAACAATTTGATTATTGGCCTTTTGAAAATTAAGCTTATAATCACTGATCTTTCAATGGTAAAGAAATAAGCTCTTTTTTCAAGAACCAAATCGTTATTAAATGATGATTGATAAGCTTATAAAGGAACATTTTGACTTATCTAGCTTTTAGTGATAAAAATTGACAATAATATCTTGATGTTGGATCTCTCTTCTCATTCATCTGTTATCTGTCGTGCTGAAATTCTGTCATTTAATTACTTTAATTTAGTGTTCAGAATGAGAGTATTTATCTGCAGAACTATATTTTAATCAGGGGTGTAACTTAGCTGCTCAAAGGGACAGCCATAGGTTCTTTTTCTTAGACATGCTTACGGTGGGCTGTTCAGGTGAGAAAACCAGGTATAATATCATCATTTAAGCTTTTATCTTATTCACCCTCCATTTTTTCAAACTTCTCATTCTTTCTGCATCTGTTGGAGTAGCTTTATTTTCTACTTGTATAAATGATGATTTACTTACACTTAGAAGGGATTGGTTGCATATCCAGCTATTGATGAAGTAGGTTGTCCCCCACCCTTTCTACACTTGCAGCGAAGAATTTATTTTTCATAATTCATTGACCCCCCATTACTTCCTCATTACTGAGCTTGGATATCTGGATAACCATGAAATAAAGATAGCTAATGGGTTTTTTTCTTTTCTTTTCTTTTTTCTCAGTTTTGCTATAAAATAGAAAAATGTTTCCTCATCTTTTTAAAGTTATCGTGTTTTTCATCTTTTCATTCTATTATTATTATTATTATTTTTTGGTGAAGAAACAAGAATCTTATTGATGAATGAAATTAACAAAAGAGGAAACAAAAACTTCCAAATATTCATAGTGGATAACAAAATATTCTTCTCGTAGCTAAAAGATTAGTGAGCCTAGTCCTTGAAGGATTTTGCACATTTACACTGACCGAAAGCATTAAAGAGATCCCAAGTCTTTGAAAACGTGGCTGTTCCTCTCTTTCTAATGGGTCGATAAAAAGGTGTCGATAAGCTAGTTCCAAATGGTCCTCTTTTGAACCATGAAGTGTTGGCCCATGAGCATGTAGGAGAGGAATTTGCGAATGATGATAGGCCATGTAGCGTGCCTACCAAGGGCTTCTGAAACCGAGGACCAGAAGTGCCTAGCAAAGGAACAATTGATAAAGAGGCGACCTTGCAACTCTGTGTCCTTCCAGCAGAAAACACAGACTGATGGGATAAGTTTTGATGAAGTAACTTCTTTTGTTGTTATTGGTGTTGATATTCTTGTGGGCTGAGTTTCCGAAAGAAAATCTTCGCTCTCCTACGGTATTTTCCATCACAAAGGCAATTGTAGAGGGGGTCTATGTCATGTTTTTGTTGTTTTGGCCATGTTGATTATAGGACTCCACCGAGAAAATGGTTGATGGTTCCATCAGCCAAACCCATCTATCCATAGCATTTGAAAGAATTACCGTTTCAAGCGATGCAGCAAGGAAGCCCATTACTAATCTCATCTGATTCCATCTTTCTGAGATGAAAGCATATGGCTTATATATTAAGTCTGTAAAGATTGAGGAACGATTGAGCCAATGAGCCATCACCAGTCCGTTGCTCATTCTAAAAGGATCTCTCCCTCCCATCACCAATTTTTGCTTTCCAAGGTCCTTAATACTGCTGGATAGCTGGAGATATATGGCCAAGTGGCTTTGGAAGAGAATTTCCTGGAAGGAGGAGGCCGTCGATGGCAAGGGTCAGATTAGTTATACTTAGACTTAATAACCTGCCTCCAAAGGGTTTGTCTTTCATTAGTGAATCTCCAAATTCATTTGGCAAGTAAAGCTTCATTTTTTATCTTTTACACTGCCAATGCCCAAGCCTCCAAGGTAAAGGGGCTTCTTGGTAATATCCCAACTAACATTGTGCATGCCTTTCTCCATCTTAGATTCTTGGGCCATTCCCAAAAGAAATTTGTGATGATCTTTTCATCTCGCCTGCCATTAAACAGAGGCCAGGAATAAATGAGGAGATTGGAGAGTGTAGCATTTATAAGCATTTGATGGCCACCGTCATATCTATATGTAGCATTTGTAATCCCTATTGTTGGGACATCATTCTGTATCATTTCATTCGGTCAATGAAATCGTTTCCTATCAAAACAGAACCAAAAAAAAAAAAAAAAAAAAAAAAAAA